TTAAACATGCATGTTTACAGAATGACACCTCCAACCAGAAGCAGAGACATACAACCTACTAAAAAAACTGGGTCTACTTTAGATTGTTGAATGCTTTAAACAGAAAAGTCTCTTGAAAAGTTACCAGAACTTAAAAACCTAAACATCTAGTCATTTTTCAACAGGAATTCTTCCTTGTGGTTTTACATTTTTCATGGGAGCTGCTACAAACAAAGTTGCTGTAATTAAGTGAACACAAACAGTGGATATGGGCTACTTTGAAAAAGAATCTTTTTATACTTAGCAGCCTGATATATCCGAGGCAGGAACTGAAGGAAAGCTGTTGCTCTTTCAGAAACATTTCAAACAGCTCACAAAAGTACACACGCCCAGCAGAGAAAGAAAGAAACCAGAACGTCAACACAGACTTACTTTTCCACCCTGCTGCTTTATTGGGTTTTAAGGCTCAAATTAACACTAAGACTTTATATATTAAAAATGAAACAAAGAAACAACAAACATTCTAATAGTCACAACACCTATTTCTTCCATAAATACAAACAGGAAAGAGCACTTTGGCCTCAGCTTTACCAATGCAGAGCTTCATGTTTATGGACTATGAGAGCTCTAGTTTGACATCCTCTCACACTCCAGATGATCTGCCTATTTAAATAATTCAGACAACTAAGCCAAAGGCACATACAGTTGGATTGCTTAACCTAGGCAGTCCCTGAATGATTTGACAGACTGGACGGCATGAATGGTTCCCATTACAGAATTTGGCTTTCTCTTGCTGCACACTTCATGTCTGTGTGAGCCATTAACAAGAAATGTGATGCCCAATCTAGACTGTTTGAAAAGGTGCAGGAGTAGTATGAACTCTCTTCATCATTTAGATTTCAACAGCCTAGCACTAAAGCAGAAACATCAAGTACTGCAATTCCAATATGGAGAATTTAACTATTTATTCTCAGTCAGCTGTGAAATATTTCTAGCAATTCACAAATTCATTCCAATAGGAATTCTTAAAAATGTTAATGGAATGACAGAAATAACAAAAAATAGTTATTTATGTTAACATGCCTGTTTGTTTATTATTAGTTTTTGCAGGATTAGACAGCAACATGACTGACTCTTAATCTGAAGAATATTCCAATGAACATGCCAAAAAAGGCAATGCAAGAAAATTTATGCTACCAGTATTTTCTTTTCAAGCATCACAATTAGGCTGTGTCACTTAAGGGCCTGCACAGACACATGGATGAAAATAATTGAAAATGCTATGACTCATTTAACTGCACCTATCGATGCTTTGCATGAGAACCTATTATTATGTGTCTGTGGGATAGAAGCAGAAACACAGATCTATGAAAGCTGAATCACGGTCTTTTGGAAATTCTGGCATTTGAAAGGATTTTGGCCCGAAAAGCTTGTGAATAGCTGGCCTTACACTATTTGTCAGAGAAACATCTCTCACCCCCTGCAAAACAAACAAACAAAACCACAAAAAACCCACACCCAAAAATATGACCCTCCATAACAACTAGAGACAAATTCAGTTGTTCACAGACTAATGACAAAACAGCACATAGCTTGTGAACTACTCATTCAAGTATCAGGTAATTGCCCAAAATTACATTACTTAATTCCTCATGCTTGATACAGAGAACTAGCTTAATAGCTTAATGAAGGTAGAGATGAAAACTAAAATTAAGCATAAGTCTCTAGATTTATTTATTCCCTTCAACCATTTACCACTATCCCTAGTATACCAATACTACTGCTCTACATTACACTGAACTCTAGACATGCACATTTTAAGATCCAGAGCAATTCAGAGACCCTGTTTAAAACAGAGCCATGCAGGAACTGCAGTGCCAAACTGAAGAACCACTGAACTGTAACAAGGGAGTAGAAAGAAGTAGGAACATGGCAAACTATCATCACAGAAACTATAAGGTTCAACTATTCAGCAAAGATTTTACACTCAACTTCTTTCTGGTACGGACCAATGCTGCTTCCACTTGAGCAGAGGCTGATCAGAAACTTGACATAGTAATGGAAAAAGAAAAAAAAAGGCAACCCCCCTCTGGTAATTCCAGCTTTCAAGCTAGCTTTAAACCTGGACAAAAGTATCTCAGCTTCCTGACAGAGATCTAAAATTGGCAACTGTGGTGCATTTTCCAGATCGACACAATAACCTCCCTCCACATTCACAAAATGCAGAAAGAGCCTAGAAGTTACACTCTCTAGGGATTTCCTAAAGCTTTTGAATCACACCCTTTAAGTTTCAAGATTTCCTACTGGTTTTTTTCTAAAAACATTTTTTTAAAGAGCTAAATCACGACAAAGGAATTATACTGCACGTACCAAGACAAATACAACAGGAGAGATAAGCATAGAGATAAGCAGGCACCAGCTAGAAGCTGCAGCTGAAAGTTTTAGTCATGATTCAGATTTCAGGAAGCAACTTTCATACATCACTTTCCTCTTCCTGCTTTCTCCACCACTGGAATCAGTGCAGACAGGTATTTCTAAAGTGCCCCCTCTCTTCCTCTGAAATTGATAAAGTTCATTTAAATCAAACAAGCTACTGTCACCTTTGGCTTTCTACAGTAGGGTTGGGTTTCTTCCCCTCAATCATTGCTGAAGCAGAGGTGTGCATTACCGAGAAGGAAGTGGCAAATTTCTTAAGGAACTCCACTGACCAGGCCTTGGATCTGGACTTGGGCAGCCAAGCAGGGATGGCAACAGCCCAGTCAAGCGACACATCACAGCTCAGCTCTCTGAACACAAGAGCTGGTCTGCTCCTACACTGCAATCAAACCGTGCAGCCAACAGACATTAAAAGTTCCTGTTTAACTGGTGAACTATCTGGTCCAGTATTTACTACCTACAACAGACATTCCCAAAAAGTAGCATACCCTGAAGTAATTGTACGCTATTCTTGATATAAGATACATGTGTCTAGCTTCCAAATCTCTCCAGGAAGAGGCTTTCATTCAGCCTGCAGGAATTTACATCTCCTGCCAACAGAACACACACTTCCAGCTCAGAATGTGAAAAAAATGGGAGGACTAAACTGATGAATGACAGGAAAAACTAGGGAGCTGAGACCAAAGGTAGATGGTGCTGTTCAGTTGGGACACAAGTTTGGGATAAGAATATGAAAAATCGCATAACTTGGGTACTGCTGCAGATGTGACCCATGCCAATTATGAAGTTTAAAAAAGTACTTTTAAATAAATTCTATCTGTGAATCTACACATGGACTTAACCATTAATTACACCTTCTTTAGGGGTGTTAAAGCCCCCAGGTATTGGATATTCTCAGCTTGTATCATCAAATGTACACTATTAGTTCAGAGTCCAAACTGCAAACACCCTACTTAGCTTTTCAGTTCAGCTGCTTTGCTTTAACAAAAAGTGGGCTAGTATTCAAGAGATGTGATTTTTTTCAAATCACTTAAAAACACACTCCAAAATAAAAGGATATATAGTCAGATAACAAAATGTCACCAAACCAACTACAAAAATCCTACACGTTATTCCAGATGCCCAACAGAGATTCATTAAAAAATAATTACGATGTTCCAAACTATTAATATCTGGTCAGGAACTAAAATGCTCAGCCAAGTTTTCATTTTGACACACTACGCAACCCCAGAGTTATGAGACTAAAAAAATCAAAGATTCTGGTCCAAAGTACCAGCTGACATCTACGAAGCACAACATGGTACAGGAAATATCCTGGCCCTGCCCCTAGACCTAGGCAATGGGAAGAAACCAAAAACCATGGCGAAGTCTAGAGCTTCTGTTTTTCCTTTTCTGTTTTACCTCTTCCATTCTTCTAAAATAACACGCTCTTACATCATATTGCATGCTTCCCAAGTACTAACTACCTTTAACCCATAATACAGTCCAGAAATAACTCAGATGTAGGAACAATATAAGAACTTTACATGCCTTTCTCAGTTAGAAGTACATAATGCTGCATGATTACATTAATTTAAATATATCTTTTATCTTCCATTTTATATCTAATGCATCTGTGATATGCTGAAGCCTATGGTGATAACAGCATTAAATTTCAAGACTCAAGGAAAAGGCATACACCAGTTCCTTCAAAACACTTCAAAAGAATGATTTTGCTACCAAACAGGACACAAATTACAAATACTACCAGTGAAGCCAGCTCTGCATGAAGTCTTACTGTAAACTCAAGAAATATTAAAACCAGTACCTTTGCTATCATGCACTGCTTGCACAAGTTGATCTGCAGGCCACTTGATTATAAGGGAAAGCAGTCAAGGACATCAAGTACCAAGCAGAGGACTAAGAGCAGTGATGAATGGCTGATGGTCCTTAACTTTTATTTGGTTTAATATTACCAGATAAAAGTATTTCTCTCTGGAAGGCTACTTGTTTAGAATGAAGAATCACTAGTCTATTAAAACCAGCCAAGACAGAACACATTCATAAATCAGATAATAAAGGGAAGTAACTTGTCTTCAGTCCAAACTGCCCTGGGCTCAGTATTTGTTATCTTCATACTTGGCCTTGGGAATTTCTGATTTACTCAAATACAGCCTTTCACTTTATAGGTGCAACAACTAAGAACAAAGCCCAAAGACTTCTGTTTCTTGAGCAATTTAATTAGTAATGACTGGAGAAGACAATGTAATGACAGTAAGAATAAGACAAGCTTTTCTCTGGTTTCCACACCTCACTGTCTGAAAAATCTGGTCTGCAACCTGGAAGCAGCATAATATCAAATCAGGATTTTTAGCTTCCTGCTTTGCGCTAATCCAAATTATCATAACAACAGTGACTCACTGATTTTCAAGTTAAACTATATCATTTTATCATAAACCATCCATTTAATCTTTAGTCCTAAAAAATTTTTATGTGCATTTATGTGCTCCAATGACAATACATTAAGAAAATCAAAAACACTGCCATCAAAGACATGGAAAATGAGATAACATTCATGAAAATATGAAACTTATGCATAGGCTCACCTTAAATCTTTTATCCTGCAGGACTTTCTTAATGGCCACGAGCTCTCCCGAATCACAGAGTTTGGCTTGATACACAACACCAAAAGATCCATTTCCAATCACCTTGGTGTCTGTGTAGCTAACTTCTTGTGGTCGGTCCGGACCTTGTCCCGGAGTTGCCACTACTGTAGTCACCTTGCTGCCATCTTTGTCTCCTGGGAAGCAAGAGATATACAGATAATCAGAACACATGCCTAAGCAGGATGACCAACAAGACTGAAACAGAAGAGGGTAAGACAAAGATTTAAATCAGCATGTGTATTTTAATCCCATAGAGAAAAACAGAAAACCCTGACAAAATGAAGAGGAAACACAGAGCATATTTTTTACCAAAATATATTAGTGGTGACAATTTTTCACGTAGATTATTGCTAACAAAAATTTCCTTTCCAGAAGCAAATAGCTGAGCAATAAAATGTGATGCACAAAGAAGTCAAGTACTTATTCCTACATCTGATTATAAAGTTAAGTGGTATTAAATTAAACAGTGTTGTTTGTATTACCAAAATGAAGCACTTTCCCATATTTTCCTATAACTGAAGAAACCAAACTGTCAGTATGGCTGTCAGAGCAGCACTCTGACCTTTACAGGCAACGAAAACCAGGAGCACGGGAAGTTTGTTACAAATCCACCTACAGATAAAGCTTCAGCTTGCACAGATTAGGAAGCATAACCTTTGTCAAACCTGGCTGTGTGCACCTGGAGCAAAATCCAGGCTGCATCACGTGGCACAGTCCTGCTCCTCCCTTCTTTCATGCCTGGACTTCCTTGCAAAGAAGGGAGGCACTTCCTGGGGCAGGGGGAGGAAGGGAGAGAAGGATGATGGTGGCAAGCACTTATGTGGCATCTCGACATGAAACAGAACATGGACAGAGATCCATGCTCAAGATGCAAGATGCCAGTGCAAGCTGCTCAGACGGATGTGCTTCAGTGCAGATGCAGAGGCTGTGGGTTTCAGCAGTCCACAGTCACATGCACTTTCCCAGTCACTTTCCTATCAAAAGACCAAGCCACTATTACCTACTCTCAGCCCCACTGTTATAACCAACAGTGCTTCACCTTGTTCAAAGCCTGATTTTGTGTGTAAGGGAACCAAAGCTTTAGGCATTTTATAAACACACTCTGGGCATTTATTGCCTTTCAATTATGATGGCTCAGGTTACAGAACTGAACAGGGCTTCAAGGAAAAACGGAATGTACTGTTCCACAGCAGTCACTCTGCAATTCTACAGCATCTGCACTCAAGAGATGCTTGTCACATCTGCTTATTAAGAAACCTTCCCTCCACAACCTTTCCCAGGTACTCTCTTCCAGACCTTCACTATTCATGCATTTAGAAAAATCTTTCCAAAAGGTAGCTCAATCTCTTTTAGTGCACTTTAGGTGAAACACTTCTTGTTCTGCTCCCAGAGGGCATGGAAAATGGTGCAGTTCCCCTCTGCTCTCTTTTCCTCATCCTCCCATCATCTCCTTCAAATATGTGAGGGGCTGTTGCAAAAAAGGTTATCATGATGAAGAAGTTATTTCTCTTTGGGAAAGCTCTCCCCTCACTCCTAAAAATCTCTCAGTTATGGTACCGAAAACCAGACTCTGCAAAGGGAGCTTATCTCAGCTCTACTCAGCATGCCAGTGACTTCTCGTGTCTGACTTACAACACACTTGTTTGTACAGCCCAGCACAACATTTGCAGCTTGTGCAATGCTGCAACCTCATGATCAGTTTGTGTACCAAACTCTCCTCTGCAGAACTGCTGCCTGTCCAATCCTCATCCACTTTCCACTTACACACCTGACTGTTCTTATCAAAGCCTAATATTCTGCATTTGTCCTGGCTGAACTGCATCCAAGGTTACTGCACACTCTTGCCAGCTTGTCACATCCTTCAAGCACAGTCACCATCAGGAGATCCATTTCATGATACTACATTAAGTTTAGCTAACAAATTGGTAAAAAACAGTGAATCCTGTGAGACTGCTTAAAGGTCCTGCAAAACCCCATGAAATATCTCATCGTATTTTTTTCTTGAACCTCCTGTTATGCTCAAACAAAATAATCAAATAATTTTGTATGACTTTCAGGGGAATTCCAGTAGTCCATTGCTTTTCTAGACTTCTCATGAGAAAATAAGTTTAAAAACTTCGGAGTCAAGGTACACACATCTATCTACTACTACTTCTTCTGTACATGAAAGATTCAGAAGAAAAGTAGGTTGGCTTGGCATCGTTTGCTCACAAAAAGCCCACATTAACTGCTACTCATCTTTTATGTTACCTTTTAGGTTCTTAGGAATTGTTTGCTTTTATGACTCCAACTGCTTCATCAAACAAACAAACAAATCAAAGATATATAAAGCAGATCAGTTCTAAGGATGCCAATAACTTACCAAGCAATACAGAGTAGGTACAGCCCTTCCCCAAAATAGTCATGAGAAGGTGAGATACAGAATATATATACAGATCTGAGACACAGATTTATATATTTAAAGAGAAAACAGCGTAGGGGATGGGAAGGAAAACCAGAGAGATGAATGTCTGCTTGTAAGGAGAGAGAGAAGCATAAATGGAAGCATACTAAAGCTGCATGGAAAATTCAGTCTCCCGTTTGACAACTGTTAAGAAATAAATGGAAGGAATCCAGGAAAAAAAAGAAACCCTTTTTTTGGTAAACAAGTTGAAAGTGTAACTCCCATAGCAGCCCTGCATTTTATTTGCCCAACTATTCTATGATTAGCATTCTAACTCAGCACATACAAATAGGTTGCATCTGTTTTACTGCAGCAATCCTCATCAAATAAAAGGTAATCCCCTAGCTTGTGGATTTTGGGTTTTTGGTTTGTTTTTTTCTGGAGGGGTCACTAGACCAGAATACTGAGACTACTGTTAAGGAGTTTTGTTATCCATTTTCCAAAATTCAAGACTAATGAAGTCTTAGAGGTAAAAATAATTGTCCCTGGCAACACTAGTTGAGATTTGAAGTACTTGGTATCAAGAGATCTGCTCTAAGGACCCTCTTCAGAGTTGCAACTCACTTAGGGGCCTCCTCTACCATAAAAGCAAACCCTGAATTTCAGGTCACTTCAAGTGTTTTGTCCCAGTGTGGAGCTGCAGCAATGTGGCCAAATTCTCCAGAGCTCAAATGAGAAGCCAGTTGGCTTTACACATTTTCCTTTAAGTCCACAGAAAAACAGCACCTAACCAGTTGAAATTGTCAGTGCTTTAAAGTGTAAGCATTGATACTTTCATCACTACACCAAGAATTACTGGGTCTCTTTACCAGAATGTTACAGAGCATTAAACCTCCTAGATGTTTCTCGCAGTTTCCTTCTTCCAATAAACAACAGCTTTTGCAAACCCATCCACAAAAGATACCATAAGGACCCTAATCTTTAAAGAATCCAGCCTGTTACAGTTTCAGTTATATTCCATTACAGAATAGTTGAACCTGAGGGACTGTAGGGGTAAAATTCACCTTGCTGCTTTGACAGCTTTTGTCTCCAAGAGTAAAACATCTCACTGCTTCTCTAAGTATACAAATAAAGTGTTTGTATCACAGCAGCATCCAGAGGCCCCAACACGGTTTTGCTACTCCTTGCACTGCACAGATCTATCTACTGTTCAGAAGACCATAAACAGTTCAGAATGGTAATCCCAGTTTTAATTGTCTGGACAGCAAGAGCTGACTTGTCAGCCAAACAGCATGTAAAGGAGTTCACTAAACAGCTTTCAGAAATGCTGGTTTTAGCCTCAGCATGATGGAAGATAGTAGAGAGGAAGCACCCCTGTCCAGAAATCTCCAGTACCCCAAATGACTCCCAACAGCAAACACCAAGAAGCATTACACCACAGCCAGCCTTAATGAGAAGCGTAGACAGCTCTTATCTCATCCCCTTCACCTCTTATTTCGTTTAGGACTGTCAGACTTAGTGTCCCCAGAGGATAAGCAGGCATTGTCAAACACAATACCCTCAACACCTTTGATTACAGGGTCTACAATAGAACTAGGACATTAAATTTAAAAACTACAGAAGGAAGGAAGGGCCAAACACCACAATACTAAATAGCTCTTACAGCACAGCTCACATCAAAAGAGTCACCAGCATTTGTCCAGAAGCTGCAGCTTTCTGGGGCCCACAGCAATATGACCTTGGCTTTACTGTAACAGAAAAGCAAATTCATGTGACTGTACAACCATCATCTAAGCCAGCCACCTTTGTAACACCCAGGGCAGAAGCACAAGTAAAAATAAATAGCTATCACACTGTAGTACACTTGCTTTTTCATTTGGTACATTTCATGCAAACTCTCAAAGTATTTCCTCACATGATATTAATGCTTAACCTCCATGATATGGTATTTGAGTTAGGGTTTTTTTTGATGAAGAGGTTATTCCACAAGTCTGATATGCAACTGAAAACAAAATCCAGACAATGCAATTTCCAAATGCTCTGATCTTTCTAGCTCGCTTTCTACCTTTAGCACATGATGACCACACAGGACAGACCAAGAGCATGAGGTAAAGTCAGTGATTTCAAAGCAGAGAACACTCAGCAGCTTGTGGGAAGAAAAGAACATACTCCACTTAAGAGACTACTGCTTGTCAGAGCATCAGTGCAAACTATAACTCTATTTTCCAATATCTTGGTAAAACTTTATAATGGCTCATGTCATCATTTTACCTAATGCCACGGGCCTCTTACACTTTTCAAGTTGATTCTTAATTCAATTTTGTAGACTCAAAAAAAGTTGCACGTATTCAATTCTGTCTGTTGGTTATAAAATACACAAACAAAAATTAATATGGATCAGTATTATTTTAATGAAATATTTGTATGTCTTGGGAACAAGAGGCATGCATCTCAAAAAAAAAATGGTGGCAGGTATTTTTGGTTTTATCCAGGTGAGATAAGGGATTCTGCTACCGGACAAGCATTTTGTTACAGAAATACCCCATCAGCTGCAGATTCCTACCGCTAGCTCAAAGCTGACAATTCTGTAAGTGTACTGCATGTATACTTTTTGCCTGTGCCTAAATGCAGCTGTCATTCAATAAAATTCACTTCAGCCCTCAGAGACCATGAAAGGCATCCTTTGCTATTGATCAGAACTTCCCACACACCTTTTAGTGAATGTGCCTGGAAAAAGTCCAAAATTATGTC